TACAGGGGTTTAATCCCCGCTTATGGGATATAAGGCAGGTTCCTCTCCGTGAATGGTATCCAATTCTCGGGATAAAAGAAACAGCCAATAGTGCTCACTGTATGGCAATATTAGTAAAATAATAAAAGAAATGTACTTACAAAATAAGAGCAGGCCCACTGCTCTATGATGACAGCTTGGGTGGATTGATCCCCACCTAAGGATTTCTTTGGGTACAGGAAACTTCCAGGAATTTTCAAGGTTTCCAGGTTGAGGATAGGAGTGATCCCAGGGGCCTGCTGGTCTGGTGCCCGCTGGTCTGGTGCCCCTGGGATCACTCCAATCCTCAATTGGAGTTAACCTTTAAATTGATCAACTAATAAGTAGCCTTACAGTGAAACACATGCGTAAATCAAGAATAGGTATATGCTTTTTAGAAAGTCTGTTATTGCAATCATTCCATTAAACTTTACTTTTCCTTTTTGTTCTTTTTTTGATATTCCAATTAATATAGCTATTTCTACTTGTAGCTTCCAGAAACTTCTTAAATTGTATGTATTTTGATTTGTCTTTGAAATGCCACCTATTAATGTAGCATGCTTTCTTCTTTTTCACGTGTTATTACATGCAGAATACCTCCAGGTTTTATATACTATCTCTTTTATAGGAGAAGGAGTCAGTATAATAACAAAAAAGAAAACTATGAAACTAATCCTGTCATACGTTATAGTTTTCCACCATAACAATACATCTGGCATTTATGTATGGCAGTATAATATCCAGTTATCCAGTGACCTTGTTGCACCCTACAGAAGACAATACTGAAGATAAAATACGCATTTGCCACTTGATCTCACCTCCTAAATTCCCCACAGGCACTATTTCACTTTTTTATTTATTGCAGGGAGATTGGGTAGTGAATGACTCTTCTCAACAGATAATACACATTTTATAGAAACAAAGCTTACATGACACAGTTAAAGGTAATACACCATAAGGAGTGTAACAAGCTTGTAAAGAGTTTATCAAAAATATATAATGCATTAATATCAAGCTCTCTAACATATCAACTAATTCTATTAACTTGACTGCTTCATATAGCTTCTTTCTGCACCTCTCTGTTTCACCTTAGTTTATATGGGTTCAAGAAGGGGACACAGACTACATTTTTTTAGTGTCCAGTTGATGGAATGAAAGTGAAAAAAGTGGGCAGATAATACATAATTAGTGGACGAGGTTTCTGGCACAACTGTATTACATGACATATACCGCCCGTGGGAAAAAAAAAAGTATTTTAAGATCTTCAAGACAGAACCTATTGTTCTGAAAGATTACATTAACACCCTATAAAAATATTTATATATTTGTTATTTCGCTCTATATTACACACCACTTGGCTGTTAAATCTTTGAAAAGGTGGTCTCAAACCAGGATACACACTGCATTTGTATTCACCTTAATTTAGAAGGTGTACAGCAGACTCAACTGGAGCTGGACAGGTTAGCAACAATAAAGACAGAAATACATATTACTGAATATTAAAAAGGCTGGCGTTATACCTACAAAGAATGTAAGCTCGTTTGATCAGAGTCCTCTCCAACCTATCGTTCCTATAAGTTTTTTTGTAATTGTCCTATTTATAGTTAAATCTCCGCTCTCATAATATTGTAAAGCGCTACGGAATCTGTTGGCGCTAAATAAATGGCAATAATAATAATAATAAAGAGAAGAAAAAGGAGAATAGAAAAATCTAAATATCAGAAAACCATAATCAAATGCACTTAAGGTCTGCAAAAACCATGAAAGGGCAAGGAGCCCTCTGTGACGTGGCTACAACTGCAGCAGATGATATGAGTAAGTATGCATGTTCTGCTGTTCTTCTACGTGGCCAAATTAACATGAGTCATCATGGTTTTTGCAGACCTTAAGTGCATTTGATTATGGTTTTCTGATATTTAGATTTTTCTATTCTCCTTTTTCTTCTCTTTATTATTATTATTATTGCCATTTATTTAGCGCCAACAGATTCCGTCAACATGGGAGGGTGTCACTATAAACTGATGAGTTTCTCTAACTCATGGATTTCATTATTATTATTATTATTTATTATTTCTATAGCGCCATCAGATTCAGTAGCCCTATACATTTCATGATAAACAAGTGCAATGACCACAATGTGATGAGCATGGAATGAGACCTATGTTTGCAGACACACAGCTCCGCAAAATTATTATTTTCTCTGGTTTTACTATTTATAGGTATATGTTTGAGTAAAATGAACATTTCTGTTTTGTTCTATAAACTACTGTCAGCATTTCTCCCAAATTCCAAATACAAACATTGTCATTTTGAGCATTTCTTTGCAGAAAATGAGAACTGGTCAAATTAACAAAAAAAAGGCAGTGTTCAGACCTTAAATAATGCAAAGGAAGAAGGTTCATATTATTTTTTTTTAAAACGCAATGCAAATTTTTAATCACAGCTTTCATGCATCTTGGCATACTCTCCACCAGTCTTTTACATTGCTGTTGGGTACTCCTGGTGCAAAAATTCAAGCAGCTTGGCTTTGTTTGATGGCTTGTAACCATCTATCCTCCTCTTGATCAACTTCCAGAGGTTTTCAGTGGTGTTTAGTACTAGAGATTGGGCTGGCCATGACAGGGTTTCATCTGGAGGTCCTCCATTCACACCTTGATTGATTTGGCTGTGTGGCATGGAGCATTGTTGTGCAGTAGAAACAATCATCAAAGTTGGGGAACATTGTCAAAGCAGAAAGGAGCATGTTTTCTTCCAAGATAACCTTGAGTATGGCTTGATTCATGTGTACTTCACAAAGATCATTCTACCCTTGCTAGCCAAGCCATGCGGAAACACCCCAAATCATCACCGATCATCCACCAAATTTCATAGTGGGTGATAGACACTGTGTTTGTAGACCTCCACCATTAGATGACCACGAGTGGAGCAAAGCTGAAAATTAGACTAATCAGAGAAGATGATTTTATTCCAGTAGTTTTTGGTCCAATCCTTATGGTTTGTTGCAAACCTCTGGATATTCTTTGCTTCACATTAATGAAGTGCTTTTTTTTTTTTAGCTTTGCACAACTTCAGCCCTCGCTGTGCACTGCCATTTGACATTCTTTTTGTAGGTTATTTGATGTCATCATGTAAGTGTTGAGTGACTTTGGAATGAGTTGGTGGTCATCCCAGCCAGTGGAGAGTCATTTTGCCCTCTAGTCTGTTGTCCCCAATGTCGGCTGCTTGACCTTGTTCTTTAAAATTTTAAGGATTGAAGAAATGTAATGCTGACTGTATCCCTCTGCCAGTAAAGTCAGAATTGAACCCTTCTTTTCCTCACTTAAACCCTTTCTTTTCAACTATTTTGGCAAGGCCAATAATTTTTTTTTTATTCCAATAACTTGTAAGATATTACTAGCACTGTTCTTGTCCTACAGCTGGTTTGTTACTTGTAAGGTATTACTAGAACTGTTCATGTCCTACAGCAAGAGGATAGTGTTGACCACTGCAGGGGTGTTTATACTTTTCATCATTAAATAAGATTTCCTTCATGTGGTCAGTTCCTCATTGAGTAGAAAGAGGTGTTACTGTGATGGAATTCAACAGACACTACATCAGAATGACTACCAGAGGCGGGCTGGGATGGGGGTGTAACAGATCGCTTGGCACCCCGACCGGGTACCTCCATCTATTGCTGCTTCATAGTACTTGCGAGTACCATAATCACTGCACTGGAACACCATAACCACCGTAAACCCCACAAACTG